TCTTGGATGTATCCGTTTACAATACTAACAACATTATTCGATCGAACAAATTGGTAATAAAAACTACATGGTCGGGTAGATACTTACACATTTCCTCATACTGTCCCAGAAATTATAAAATAAACACATTATTTCCTTACAGACCATGCTATTTTGTTGTCTCACACCAAGCTTTCCATCCACAAAATACGTATCCTTGGTAAAAAACTCTAATTGAAAATGGTTACCCAAAAAATCTTATTCATTCGGTTATTCAAAAAAGACTAACTTTTTTACCACGTTATTCTCCCATACCACTACCAACATCAAAAACACTAATCTATTTACTGCAGCATTCCATATGTTGAAGAGTTATATTATTATTTTGCCAAAATTCTGCTAGATGAAAACATTTTAGTATCAGGTTCATCCTTACACTTCTTCAAAAAAAAAATTTACGAACATTAAATCTCCTACCCCATCCAATTTCAATACTAACGTAGTATATTCTGTTTCTTGTAACGACTGTGCCAATATATTTGACAAACCTCACAATATGTACACAAAAGATGAGACAACATGAACTAAGTGTGGTCCACCATAAACAAAAAATTTCAAAAGTAACCTAGTACAGCACTCTATTGAAAATGCCCACTCGTTAACTTCACTCCAAAGATCTTATATCATGAAAGTTGCATCTTTAGAGATTATTTGCGGAAAGTTGTCTTATTCTTATGAACGTTTCTAATAGTGTCAACATTAGATCAGATCACAATTTATTACATGATTCTTATTTAAATTTTTCACACTTATTGACAAACAATTAATATCGACTTCCATTTAAGATCAATAATTTAAGTATTCACATCCTAACATATAAAAACACACACATACAACCTCACAGTTCTCAAGCCTTTACACGTGTTGCGTGTGACTCAGATTTAGTTAGTTTATTTCCAACAGCGCAGCCAGAATGCAGCATGTTGATGCTCTGAGCAGGTGTCATGAGCTTCTGGTAATAGAAGAGAATAGTTTCGACAGAGTGCTGGCTTTACGGCAAGCTAAGGATGCGTCGCTTGTGGCGATCCGGGACAAGTTGGAGAGAAAGGAAGATAAATTCTATGAGATGAGGGATGGACTGTTATACCGTAAAGCCAAGGGGAGACTATTATTCTTAGTTCCAGAGTCCATGGCGGAGAACGTGGTTAGGCTGACTCATGAGCAGATGGGACATGCCAGAGAGGAAAGGACTAGATTAGCAGTTACCAGACAGTAATGGTTCAGGGGAATGTGCGAGGTGATAAAGAGAGTTATTGAGGGGTGCCTGAAATGTATTTCCTTCTCAAGGTGGTGCAAGGGAGGCCCAGAAAGGTTACATAAGATTCCAAAGGGAGTGGCTCCCTTCAGAACATTGCACATAGATCATTTAGGACCATTGCAGAAGACGACCAGGGGTAATAAGCATGTGCTCGTAGTAATGGATGGGTTTACAAAGTTTTGTAAGCTTTACCCATATAAGTCGATTACTGCGAAAGAGGTAATTGGCCATTTAACACAGTATTTTCAGTACTATAGTACTCCTTGGTCATTGACTACAGACAGGGGTAGTTGTTTCACATCAGATGCTTTTAAATAGTTTTTAGAGGACCAGGAGGTAAAGCTAGTGAATGTAGCCGCTGGAGCATCATGAGCCAATGGACAGGTGGAGAGAGCCAATCGGACCATTTTACCGTCAAAATATGTAGAGGATGCAGTTAGATGAGATACGGTTTTGCATAAGGTAGAGTATGCTATAAACAATACTGTATTGCAAAGCTGCTGCAGAATTAGCCAAAGAGGAGAGGTGCAGGATGCAGTTAAGTATTATCTAATGGAGGAAGCAGGATACGATGAAGCATTGAAGATTGAGAGAGCCAAGTATATAGGACAGACAGGGAAGTAGCAGGTGAAGATTGAGAGGAGGAGCAGGAATGATATAGGAATATATGATCGTGACAAGCCTCTAGCAAAAAGGTACCAGGTAGGAGACTTGGTAATGATCTCCAATGTGGATACTACTATCGGAGTGAACAAAAAGTTGTTGCCCAAGTTCAAGGGGCCGTACCATATCACAGAGGTGTATTTTTATTACGGGTACATCGTGGAGGATATGCCTGGATTCCAAGTAGCACAGACCCCTATGAAAACAGTGGTAGATCCTAGCCGGATGAAGCTATGGTTCAGGCAAGGAGATGGGAGTAAACCACCTAGAGCTAGAGTGAATAGTAAATATGGTTCAGAAACTGATGGGTCAACCGAAGAGAGTGATAGTGGAAGTGGAAGTGACAATTAAGGGGGTGACAATGATAAAGACATAGCGATAATGGATATATACAGTTGTGTGAAGTGTAGTATTAGGAACAATAAGATAGAGTTAAGTTCATATTCATTTAAATGTTTTATGTTTAATATGTGTAATGCCTGTTATTTTAGATTATTAGAGATGAATTTCAAGTCTAATTAGTCGGGGACGACTGTGAGGTCAGGAATGGCCGAATTGTAAGATAATGTAGTTTGGTTAGTAACTGTAAGATTATGTAGTTGATTAGTTTGAATGTAACGGCTGGTAGTGCGTGTCGGTTGGATAGATGGCTCTGGGTCTTGAGAGAGTGTCCCATCCCGTAATAGCCAGCAGGATGTATGTATGGTTGGGTAAGGATGACAGAGTAGAAAGGACAGAGTACAGATACAGGATTGATAGAGATAAGTAGAGTTTAAGGTTAAGTAAAGAGCAATAAGAGTTTTGTAACGAGTTAAAGAATACACCGAGTTATTGAAGAGTTAGTTGAATTTTAACAAGAATTTCAGGTTATTCAAGAGGAAGTTACAAGCTTAAAGTAAGTATATATTGAATGTAGAGAAAGAGATTACCATCGCGTCGTTGTATATGATATTATATAAACCATTGATTGATAATATTGAATACGATCGATGCACCAACACATGTATGTAAGAACTTCATCTTCTATAAAAGAGGACCATTGTTAGTTTTTAGTTAATTACTGAATGTGAAGCTAAGCGGTCGTTGTGTGTTTAATAGGAAGTGCGAAAATTACGAAATATTATTACGATATATTTTTATTTGTTTTAAAA